ACAGTTCACCATTATATGTACTTGTACCACAGAAAAATGGAAGTTTTCTTTCCAAAGTTCAAGTTAGACCAGAAGTATAAGATGCATGAGCTGCTGAAACAGATAGGAATCAGAAGAATCTTCTCACCCTGGGCTGACTTGAGTGATCTCTCAGTTACTGAAAGAAATCTTAAAGTATCCAAGGTAAGTCAGGATCTTCCACTGGGGCCCAAACCAACGAATATTTTTACATACCATTTAAGTTGATAAAAGGCCAAGTTGTAGTAGAAAATTAGATTAAAATTCCAAAAGAACTGAAACAGCACCCAGGTTGGATGTTTTAAGAATTTGGAGCTACTTTTTAAAACATCTGTTCAACTAATTTAATCTCTCTTACGTAGAACTCTCTCTCTTCTCTCCCAGTGCTCAAGGAGAAATTTATCCCCAAATGGAACTGGTTCACAGATTCATTCAAAATTCCATGAAACTGCACCACTTTAAAGATGAAAGAAAGCCCCAGAGGTTATCTGGCTAACTTCCCGCCCCTTGTGGAAACCCTGTCTGACATATCCCTACAAAACAGTAGGGATTACTACCATTATCGCCTCTTATAATAATTATACAGGTCCGTCACTCACATCACATGAGGCTCCTGGACAAAAGGGCCTCTCAGACACAACGGGTGGCCCAAATACAGGACACCAGAGTTCAGGACGACTTCAGGGACCCAGGGGCTTACCCCATGGACCACTTCAGAGCAGTACCAGGTGCTGGGAAGCTGCTACAGAAGACTAACCACAGCCCTGCCCCTACCTAGGCTGCCAGAAGGAAGGTCAAAGTTCTCAGGGGTTCCAGGCGGCTTGAAAACCTTCCAGGAGGAACACCAGCTCGGCTCAAAAATCAGTAGCACAAAGTACATGCTAAATAAGTATTTGTTCATTGGATGCATGTGTGCATGAAGTGGCCAGCCACAGAGTCCCTGGGTCCCTACCCAGAATGAATTTCACAATTGGTTCCTGGTGTCTCCTGGTATTTTGTGGGCTTCTAAGGCAGTCGCTGGGGCAACCTCAGACCATTCCTCTCTGCGCAGATGAGCCCTGTACCACTCAATCCTGAGTGCATGGCCCCGTGGGTAGGACAATAACACAGAATGTCCAGGGGCTCAATTAATTCCCTCACCTCCGCTGGCACACAAACGGCCGTCCATGTATTTCCTTTTCCAGGTTTTACAAAGAGCGATGATTGAGGTGGATGAAGAAGGAACAGAGGCGGTGGCGGGAACCCTGTCAGAAATCACTGCTTATTCCATGCCTCCCATCATCAAAGTGGACCGGCCGTTTCACTTCATCATCTATGAAGAAACCTCCAGAATCGTGCTATTTCTGGGCAGGGTGGTGAATCCGACTCTCCTGTGATTGATGACATGCGCGAGTCCTTAGAGCCACAGCAGACGCTGGATCTGAGGTGTCTGAACTTACACAGGACACTGGCACTGGGTGTCGCGCCCTTGTCCTCAGATGCTAGTTTGAGCCATCCTTAGATAAATCTGCGTATTAAATTCAAACTTATTTTAAGGAGATGTTTGTACAAGCTGTCTGGTATTTTAAGCCTGTTTCTAAGAGCCTTTGTTATTGATTAAAGACCATCTTGGTATCTGGACTTAAAACTATGGTAGATCAAAACTCTATTTCAAGACGAAGCCTTTGGGAAGAAGACAAGTACACATTCTCCATGGGTCATGAGCTTGGCTCTCTTTACTTCTCCCTAATGCAAATTAGTGTTTTATTTTTAACCTACTATAGAATCATTTCTTGGTGACTAAAATTAGAAGAAACTAGCCGTGGTCAGTCCTGCTGCAATGTGGCTCCACCCACTCCGTGGAGCCGTTAACTGAGCCACAGATCATCCAGTTCAATACCTTCGTTTTACAAAGTAAAGAAATGGGAAACCGGAGAGAGGGCCGCAGTATGGCTTTCGTGGGCCCCAGGCACTTTTGTCTTCACAGGCTCCTCCCTCTGTAAAAATAAAATATATATGTGTGTGTATAATAGAAATTATATTTTATGACTGCACTGGTATAAAGATGAATATACTCTGGGTTATATCTGTCCTTATACCAGTGCAGTCAAAGTATGGAACTTGCTTGTTGCAAGAAGTAAAACATATTCATGGGCCCCTAAAAGTATCGTGGGCTTGAGGCACTGTGCCTACGGCATCTCAGAGGAAGGAAAACGTCACCCAGTGGAGCAATGGCAGAGTCAGAAGCCTGCCTCTCCTGACTCCAGTCCCCAAGCCCATTTCACTCTTCTTTCTGTTTACAACATCTGATGGGGTCCATCCACTTCAACAGGCAGCATGTGCTCACCTCTCAGTTACCCACTGTGGCTAGACGGAATATAAGCATGGACTTTGTCCCAAGGTTCAAAGAAAAACAGCAAATACTTTCTCAGCCAGTCATTTTCTGTTATATAGACAAGAAAATATTTTAGGAGTAATTTCAGAGAATCGTGAATAGAGTTAACTAATCTTGGAATGTCAATTATGTTGACTAACGGCCTAATTGGGTTTTTATCTGTTTGCTATCCAATTTAAATATACTTAAAATTAATGTATTGATTAGTCATCTTATTACAATAAGTCAGAGTTATGTGAATAGTACTTAATGTGAATAGGTAATAATAATAAGCAGCAGTCTAGAGACTAACTCTTCATCATTCTAAAACCTGGATAGGAGTTTATTCCTGTATTCCCTTCCAAGGGCACTAGCTGACATTGGTAAGCCAGGCGACTCTAGAGCCTAGAAAGAAACAAAAATAGATGACTAACTGCAGTTGGCATTCTTAAGTGAGTTGTTAGTATTCAACTAATGAGGTTCATTTATGGAAACATAGCAGAAAGAGAAATAAAAGAGGGCTCAAATTACCCATTTTTAAGAGATGAAATCTAAAAATGAAAGCCTATGAGAACACAATACCCTCTGAAATAAATATGGCCAAACCCAGTTATAAAAAAGGTTCATTATTATCAAAGGATTCATAGAACATACATATCAAACTCTCCCCTTATCTCTGCACATATTTGCACAAAACAATGATGGCATAACAATGATAACTGACATTACTCTTTAAGGTAGAAAATGGCCCTATTCGCTATAAAAAATTAATATTTCCCCACATATGCTTGAAGAAGCTCCAAGAACACTAGGTTTCAGATTTTCTAAATATATATGCATGGTGAAAAAATGCAGACCAATGAAAAATGTACTTAATCTTACAAAAAAATTCAAGGTTTCAGCTGAGGGGGAAAATTCTGAGCATTGTAACAATGCTTCACTATATTTAAGTGTCAGGTTTTAAAAACTGTTCCTACACACACACACATACACACACACACTCTCTCTCTCTCTCTCTCTCTCTCTCTCACACACACATGCTATATAACAACTGAGAACAGATTACTGACTTAGTTGAATTCATTTCATCTTCGCTGTAAAACCACTAGGGCCAAGCTAAAGAGACTGTTCCATTTCAATTCAAATATTTCACGTATGTCCACTAACTGCAGGCAAAATGGACTTACTCCTCCAGAATAAGGTGTCTTTATAAAGCTCAGGAAATCAAGTAACGGAAATGACTTTTAAATGTGTATGAGGTTATGGAAGAAAAGCTCTATATGCTCCTCTGTATTAAGTAAAATGCTTTTTGCCTTCTCCATTTCTGCCAGTAAAGTTGATTCTACAGGTCTATTTTTTTGCTTATAACGCTAACTAGTGAAATTTTGGAACATGTCCTTAAAACTGCAAGTTTCCACAATTAACAGATAGAGATGTCCTTATTTCTCTGCAGCTACAGATGGAGGGAGATCTTTCCTTGTCACACAACTGGTTTAAAGGAACTATTTGATAAGTTGTTAAACGAAGAACTGTTATAAGAGTATCAGTCTTGTTTCCAGTGTAAATCGAGATATATGTGGATACTCATAACTGTCACCAATTTGTTTCTTACTGTTTTTACATATCTGTCCTTGGAAGTATAGTTTTAACAAATATTTCAGTGACTTTAGAAATTATCATGTTCTGTGGAAAAAAAAGGAAACCTCCAAACATAACGTTAATTGACTGTCTTAACTGATAATTTAGTGCCTAAGACTGCAGCTCACTTCTGTAGATTTCTGAGCTCTATAAGCAGTAGTGACTTTTCTCTGTCAAATTGTTTTCCTCTTCTCCCACATGCATGGTGGCAAATAAAAAGTTCCTAACTCTGCTAAATTTATTTTTGAACAAATAAACTGAAATTCTCCATTCTTTTAAGTAACAGAGTCAACGTGGACTATGAATCAAAGTACTAGAAAAACTGACGCTGTCCTGAGGTCCATTACATACGCCCAATACTCTCTCCTAGATCATAATGTATTCAGTTCCACGTTAGTGATGTTAGTAGGAGACGTCACTAAAATAGTTAAATGAAATCCACAAAGAATACATGAATTAACCAGTACTGTCAAGCTTCTCATACCTACTCAATTTTTAATTACTGACAAAATGAATGGTTGAACAATTCCATTTACCTGACTGTCCTTAAATGAAAGGTATGAAGAATCACTAAAAATAGCCAAAATAGGGCTTCCCTGGTGGCTGAGAGTCCGCCTGCCGATGCAGGGGACACGGGTTCGTGCCCTGGTCCGGGAAGATCCCACATGCCGCGGAGCGGCTGGGCCCGTGAGCCATGGCCGCTGAGCCTGCGCATCCGGAGCCTGTGCCCTGCAACGGGAGAGGCCGCAGCGGTGAGAGGCCCGCGTACCGCAAAAAAAAAAAAAAAAAAAAAAAAAGCCAAAAAAGAGGCCATATGTAAGGAAAGGGGGAAACAAACAGCATGAAAGCCTCACACTGAGTAGCTGTCCCCTGGGTAATATATAGTTGATGTCCGTGCGCTTTTCTTGTTCATTACTTAAGAATGAACTGTCTTTAATTACAGAATAAAAACTGCAGGAAAGTATTTAAAACTTTTTTCACAAACACAGGTATCTCATTAACCTATGTTTTATTTTGAGTAAATTCATTATTCATTATTTCACATTATAAAAAGTAACCACACGCATATGCATTCACAAATTAGATCATCTTTATCATACATCAGTATATTTTAAAAAAACAAATATTTTCTAATAACAATATAGTTATATGCTGATTGCATTTTGAAATAGAGAAGCTGACAATAGCTTCATACAGTATATCTCAAGAACTGACATTTTTAAAATTAAGAACTGAATATATTCCACAGGCAAATGTTGATGGAAATATTAGCATTAGTACAAATATATGCTGTTGACATAGCTTAAGCATGATAGCTTGGAGTAACAGCTGATTCAAACTAGAGTCATCATTTTTAATTCAGTAAGGACAAGTACAATCTAAAATGTAAACAAAGTATTTATAAAATAAATTCTTCTAGGAAATAAAGGAAATCATCAATCTGTTATTTTTAAGGTAGTTGTAGCTAAAAGTTATCAGAAATCTTTGTAGAATTTTCATTGCCAAATTTTAATTTCGGAATGTCGAGGTACAACATCTTGTCATCACAATCATAGGACTGATATAATTTCGGACAGCTGTTTGTACCCTGTTACAGTGTGACTTTTCAACTGGGCTTGGAGATTTGTGAGAAAATGCAGTGTCATTCTTACTCCCAAGTCCCCCTCCAAGTGATTACCTAGGCGGGGCAATTTCAGTTGATTTGGACCTTTCAATTTGTAAATGCTAAACTCTAGAACAATTAAATAGATGGTTTCCTGCACAAATAAATGCAGACTTATCTCTTTTGTAGCAGTAGTTAAAGCACATACCTAAAGTTGTGTTTCATTACACTTCACTATAACATTGGAATTCTGTAACCACATTATTATTCAAGAAATATATATTATACCTCCTAGGGAATATAATTTCAAACATGGAACGTTTAACAACACCAGCTGCCATTATGTATCTCTCTCTTTCCCATTCATTTAAAAAAAAAAAAAAAAAAAAAGCCCGAGCCATTGCTTTAGCTTTTGTCCATCGATCACGTTATCTCCAGTTGTCTTTGTTCTGCCTCCTTCAAGCAGATGATTTAAGGATTGGATTTTCTGGATTTTCTTTGTCAAAAGGAGGAAAGAAAGAGAGAAGAATGAAAGAGAGAAGAGAGAGAGAAGAAGGAGAAGGAAAGAAAAAAAAAAGAAAACAAAACATGAAAATTTTTATCCACATAATGCTTACAAAGTAAAGAAATAGATATAATCTACTTCGAATAAACCTAATATATGAGAACGGTGAATTACATATTAAAGATCACTTGGAATAACCTTTAACTACTAAATCCTATGTGCATCTAACATAGCATTCAATTCAATTCATACTTTTCCTACGTTTTTCACTTTCTATAACCATAACAGAAATTAACACAGCCTAAAAATATATCAATTGTCTGGCCTTGAAAGACATAAGATATGATGCATTCCGTACTTCCTTTAAGACACTGATGTTCCTAAATACCAGATGTGTCATCTCCATGATACTGTGAAGCTGGAGAATGTATTGCATAGAATTTTTTTGAGCAGCAAAAACTGAGATAATTAATAGTTTCTGAAATCACTTCATAGGTTTATTTGAAGAAAAAAAGGATAGATTTTCATTTGGAGATGGCATGGCACTGAATGGTGGATAATACTCCACAGAAACATGACCAATGTAGATATCAATCACCTATTTCAGTTATGTGGCGGTGTGCATACATGAGAAAGTCCGAATTAGAACCACATAACATGGAGAGAGAGTTGTGGACCTGCAGATTCAGTTACACACTGATAAAGCAGCTGCGATACCAATATTCCTCCTTCTTCAGAATATTCAGGAAAGAAGAAACAAACTGCTGTGACTTGTTAGCAGAGTGTTTGTCTCTAGATGCATTTTTTAAAACAATCAATTATAGATATAACTGATTATATGATTATTTATATAATTATGTATTACAAATATTGAGCAAGAGAAAATTCAGTCAATAAAAAGGAAAAACATGCTCAACAATGAAAAAACAGATAAAGATAGTAATCTGAAATAAAGGAGAGCTAGTATAAATATATTAGGCTTCAATGGTCTTTACTTATCAAAAATGCCTATTGCATTTAGAAGGATAAGTTGAAAAGAGAATGAATTGCATTCTGATGTTATTAAACGCGTTCTTCAATAGAAGAATTCCAGGGCAATTTTTTGACAGGAAGAGGGTAAGGGTGATCGAGAGGAAGGATTTCAGGATGCCAGAATGGAAGGCGCCTCAGAGGATGAACTGTGAGCCTTGCCCTGTCATTTCGCGGGCACACCGAGGCCCAGAGTGCTCACTGGAACTGCCACGGGAACCAGGGCATGAGGCTCCAGCTCCGTGCTCTCCATAGACCATTACCCTGTCCTGCCTCTATTTTGAGACTTTAAATGGAACTCCCACAGTATAATCATTAGAGCAATAATTATATGGCTAAGAGATTCTCTGTAAATAAAAATATCTTCTGTATTAATACTACTAACCTGTACTATCAATATTATTTTTTCTATTTACTATTACTTTTTTCTATTATGTAGTCCTACTCTTTCCTTGAGCTCTATTCAATAAATGTATTTCTAAGTTCTGAATGAATTTTGAATACATCTATATTTGTATACACCAATGACCAATTAAAATTTTTGAACAAATTATAATACAGTTCAGTTCCTAAATGGGACTCCAGTGTGGAGTTTCTGCAAAAAGATGCACATCAGAAACTTAATAATAGAAAATATTCATGAATTAAGTGAAATATGTTTAAAAGAAAGTCTGAATCCTGTTTAAATTCTCTTCTAATCAGAAGATTCACGTGTCCCATATGAAAGAGGACACGTGTAACTATAGTTTGGGTATTTTGGATGAATCACTTCTACCTGGATACAACCTCTCGTCATGGAGATTTCTTTTTGGCACTACCCTCTTAAATGTTTAACTTAAAAGAAACAAAGGCTTCGACAATTCAAACAAGATCCAAATGGTGCATAAAAAGGAACCACAAGGGGAAAAGGAGAATAGAGGCCCTTTATGACCTTTATAACTTTAAGGAACAAATGTTGTCTGTAGAATCTCTAGCTTATTGGACCCACAACTCTGGATTATATGCTGCAGTAATATTTCTTAAGTGGCATCAGTTACACCCATCCCTCTGAGCACTGGGTGATTCAATGCTGTGTACTTAAGCTAGTTTGTTTAAACGAATGCAATTACACTCAGAGTCTTCTCGGAGCTAAATTTCCTGAATGCAAATATTTCACAGAAAAATAAACAGACCTCAGATATTAGTGGGAACCATTTAAAGTTTCTTGTCAACTTCCTAAGGTTACATTGTCTTTGCCACATATAAATTATCTTATATAAAGTATCTGATGTAACAGTGATAATAATAATCCCTTTTAATTGACGACACTGCCTCATTACAGACATCTTCTATTCTTTGGAGAAGTATTTAAGTGGGAAGGAAAGTACACTGAGAAAAGAACAGAATAAAACACTTAGCAGTACATCACTGGATTACTTACAAGGTAGCCTTCCGTGGTTGTGTATCTTTACTTCCACTGCTCTTGGGATCACCTGAGTTACCTGTCCCTCGGGAGGTGCTGGGCAGGGGAGTATTAGAGGAAAAGGAACTGGGAGCACTGCCGGCATTACGAGTCCGGAATGAATCATCTGAAAGTAATACGTGTACAGTCAGCCAGACGGAATATACTTAGAGAGATGTGAACCTTAGAGAAGGTTAATGATAACTGACTTTGTTTCCCTTCTTTTAAAGTCAACTTTATTAAGGTATAATTTATATACAATAAATTGCACGAATTTAAGGTTCTGACATCTGTATACACCCATGAAGCCATCACCACAATCAACAGTGAACACACCCATCACTGGATGTTTGTTCCGCCTCCTTGTCATCTCTCCCTCCACCCGCCTCCCCCACTCCAGGCAACCACAGACCTGCCTCCTGTCACTACAGATTAGTTTGCATTTTATAGAATATTGTATAAATGGAATCATACAGTATGTATGCCTTTTTGGTCTGCCTTCTTTCATGCAGCATAATTATGCTGCGATTCATCCACATCAATACTTCATGCTTTTTATTGCTGACTGGTATTCCCATTGCACAGACATGCCAAAATTTGTCTATCCATTCTCCTACTGACAGACATTATGATTTTTTTTCCAAAAAATTTGTAATCTATTACAAATAGAGCTGCTATGGACAATTGTGTGCAAGTCTGTGTATGGACATATGTTTTAATTTCCCTTCAGTAAAAGTCTTGGAATGGAACTGCTGAATCACATAGTAAGTGTATATTTAACTTCATGAAGAACTGCCAACCTGCTGTCCAAAGTGATTAGACCATTTTGCATTTCCAACAGCAACATATGAGAGTCCTGGAAAGTTCCTCCACCTCCTCACACATACTTGATATTGTGAGTCTTTTTAGTCATTCTAGTAGGTGTGAAGTGGTATCTCCTTGTGTGTGTGTGTGTGGGGGGGGTTACTCATTGCTTTAATTTGCATTTCTTAATGGTTACTGATCTTATGCATCTTTTTACTTACTTATTTGTATATCTTCTTTCATGAAGTAAGTGTTCAAATTTTTTCCCATTTTAAAATCAGTTGCCTGATTTGTTTTAAAGATCTTTGTATATTCTTAAAACTAAAAATAGAACTACCATATGATCCTGCAATCCCACTCCTGGGCATATATCCAGAGAAAACCGTAATTCGAAAAGATACAGGCACCCCAATGTTCACTGCAGCACTATTTACAATAGCCAAGACATGGAAGCAACCTAAATGTCCATCAACAGAGGAATGGATAAAGAAGATGTGGTGGAATACAGAATATTACTCAGCCATAAAAAAGAATAAAATAATGCCATTTGCAGCAACATGGATGGACCTAGAGATTATCATAATAAGTGAAGTAAGCCAAAGAAAGATAAATATCATATGATATTGCTTGTATGTGGAATCTAAAAAAAAAAGATACAAATGAACTTATTTCCAAAGTAGAAAGAGACTCGCAGACATAGAAAACTAACTTATGGTTACCAAAGGGGAAAGGTGGGAAAAGGGGGGGGAGGGATAAATTAGGAGGTTGGGATTAACATATACACCCTGCTATATAAATAATAAAATAGATAACCAACAAGCAACTACTGTATAGCATAGGGAACTATTCTCAGTATTTTGTAATAACCTATAAGGAAGGAGGACCTGAGGCAGAATATATGTATAACTGAATTGCTGTGCTGTGCACCTGAAATTAACACAATATTGTAAATCAACTATACTTCAACTTAAAAAAAAAGATCTTTGTATATTCTGGATACAAGTCCTTTGTCAGGTATATGTAATATGAGTATTTTCTCCTAATCTGTGTCCTGCCTTTTATTTTTTTAATGCTCTATTTCAAAGTGCTAAAACTTTACATTTTTATGAAGTCCAATATGTTAATTTTTTTCTTTATGGTTTGGAAAAACTTTTGTCAATTCCAAAATCACAAAGACTCCCTTCTATATTTTCTTCAGAAATGTCAGTTTTAGCTTTTATGCTTAAGTTTAGAATACATTTTGAGTTAATTTTGTGTACAGTTGTGAGATAAGAATTGAGGTTCAGTTCTGTGGGTTTTTTATGGATATCCAATTGTTCTGGTATTATTTAAAAAAATACAATCACATCACCTTTGTTGAAACTCAGCTGACTATGTATGTCAGGGCAGGGCACACAGTCTTGAGTACTGAAGCTGTAGTAGTAAATGATGAAATCAGGTAACTGACATTCTCTAACTTTAATTTTTTTCAAAATACTCAGCTCTATGAATTTGAATACACAGTAAATTTCAAAAAGACTGTCAAAGTTTTTATCCGGATTGCACTGAATCTCTGGCTCCATTTAAAATGAACTGACATCATAACAATATTAAGTTTTCTAATCCATAAACATGGTACAGCTTTCCATTTATTTATGTCTTCTTTAATTTCTTTCAGCAACATTTTGGAAGTTCTGAGTGTGCATTTAGCACACGTTTTATTAAATTTATCCCTAAGCATTTAAAATCTTTCAAGTTATTTTAAATGTTATCTTTAAATAGACAATTTTTTGAAGTATTAGATTTACAGAAAAATTGAGAAGAGAGTATGAAGAATTCCCACCTACCCCTTTCACCTAGTTCCCCTATTAACACCTTACATTTACATACTATACTTGGTACAATTAGTGAGCCAGTGGTGACACATCATTATTAACAAAAATCCACAGTGTGTTTGGATTCTGTCAGTCTCACCCAATGTCTGTTTCTGTCTCAGGATGCCATCCAGGGCACCACAGTACACTTACTTGTCAGGTCTCCTTAGGCTCTCCTTGGCTGGGACAGTTTCTTAGCCTTTCCTTGCTTTTGATGACCTTAACGGCTTTTAGGGGTACTGGTCAAATATTTTGTAGGATGTGCCCCTACTGGAATTTGTCTGATGCTTTTCTCACGATTAGACTAGGGATCCGGGTTTGAGGGAGGATGAGAAGAGGTAAAGTAGCATCTTCATCACATCATGTCAAGGAGGAACACTGTGACAAATTTTTTCTCGTTATATGTGTTTTATTTATACTTCATGACGGATCACTAGAAATGGGATTTTTTGAGGCATAGACTATTTTTTAAAACTAGGATTCTTGATGAACTTGACCGAACTGCTTCCAAAGGGTTCCACTAATTTTCATACCCACCCAAAATGGATACATTGCAATGTTTCCCTGAATCCTTACTAGAATTCCCTTTACATCTCCCCCAGTCTGTTGTGCCCACATAGCTGTGGAATGCCGCAGCTGATGACTGATGGACTCACCCTAAGTAAAAAGCATCAGTTAGGCCGCCCACTCTACACCTGACCTGACCTTTATTTTATTTAACACTACCCCCGCTACACCCTCTTCGGGCTCCAGCCAAACGGCCTGCTGTCGCTCCCTGAAGACACAACAGTCAGCTTTTGCTTCTGACAGGTCCTCTGCACGGGACAGTATTCCATACCCATCTGTGCCTGTCAAAATCCTAGCGTACCTTAAGGTTCACCTCAAATGATAATCATCCTAAAGCCCGCCTTAAGCCACAAAATAAAATCTCTTCTCTCTGTGAACACTTAATACATTTGTTAAGAGACATTTTGCTCCCATTTGCTCTTTGTAGATCAGATATGTAATTGTATAGTGACTTTTTCCTCAGTTGGTAATTCATTAAGTAATAAATAATAAGTAATAAGCACATTTTTCTAATCAAGAAACCTAGGAGATATTTCATTCAACCTATTCCCTCTCCCCAAAATAATACCAGAATTTTAAGATAGAATACTTTTCAAATATTTTAATAAATAATTTACCCTTATGAGAGACATGCTTTTATGTAAGGCTGTGGATGTTGAGTTTTGGAACCTACATACCATACACAAGCCTACCTTGTTTTATGGCTCTTCACTTTACTGCAGATAGAACAGAAAATGCATTTTTTATAAATTGAAGGTTTGTGGCAACACTGCGCCCAGCAAGTCTAACAGCACCATTTTTCCAACAGCATTTGCTCACTTCTTGTCTTCGTGTCAGATTTTGATAATTCTTACAATATTTCCAACTGTTTCATTATTATTATATTTATGGTGGTCTGGGATCATGATCTTTGATGTTACTATTGCAATTATCTTGTGGCACCATGAACCTCACTCACATAAGACAGAAAACTTGGGCTCCCCTGGTGGTGCAGTGGTTAAGAATCCGCCTGCCAATGCAGGGGACACAGGTTCGAGCCCTGGTCCAGGAAGATCCCACATGCCGTGAAGCAGCTAAGCCAGTGCACCACAGCTACTGAGCCTGTGCTCTAGAGCCTGTGAGCCACAACTACTGAAGCCCACATGTCACAACTACTGAAGTCCACGTGCCACAACTACTGAAGCCCGCGTGCCTAGAGCCCGTGCTCCGCAACAAGAGACGCCACCACAGTAAGCCTGCGCGCTGCAACGAAGAGTAGTCCCCGCTCACCGCAACTAAAGAAAGCCCACACAGCAAGGAAGACCCAACACAGCCATAAGTAAATAAATAAATAAATAAAAATAAAGTTCCCTTAAAAAAAGAACACTTGTCAAAAAAAAAAAAAAAAGACGGCAAACTTAATCAATTTATGTTGTGTCTGTTCTGATTGCTCCACTTACTGGCCATTCCCCCATCTCTCGCCTCCTCAGGCCTCGCTGTTCCCTGAGACACAATAATATTGTGTCCAATAAAGGCCATACCTACTTGTTATGTGCTGTCTATGGCTGCTTTTACTCTGTCACACCAGAGTTGAGTAATTATGACTGAAACCAATTGGCCAACAGAGCCCAAAATATTTATCATGTGGCCCTTTACCCCTGGTATAAACTTTCAAATACATAATATTGTAACTGTTTAGCAGCATATGATCCACAGTGAAGCCCTGTTGTTTTTAACTTCCTTAAAAATTACTGCAAAAACTTTTAGTCTATGCCTCATTAGGTCCTCAGACCATGGTAAAACCTATTTTATTTTGTCCTTTTCCTCTTTTGCAAATATTGAACTCTGACTCTCGACACAGTGAAAACAAAATACTATTGTTAAGCATCTTCTTAATTGCTAGGGAAAAGTTTAATTTCTTTGCTATTGGATAAAGATATAAATTTAGGGAAACTGTATCTAGAAATAAAGAAATGGGCCATTTAAGGAAAATCGTATTTTATTAAATTTAACAATTTTTTGAAGAGCTCAGATTTCTACTTACCAGTTAGTGAAATCACAGAAGTCTTTGTTAACCCTGAGACAGAAGGTGTATATGCTGCTGTAGAACTTTTACTAGAAAAGAACATGATTTAGTTAAAATACAAGAATATGCTTCTTTCAATCCCAGTCATCTAGCACTAGGTCTTTCCTAATCTTTTTTTTAATGCTTTCCTCTACTTCTTATGAAACATGCTTGCTATTTTTATTTCTCACTTATTTTTTACATTCCATGCCTCACAATAATTACTTTGTCTTTAACTTAAAATCATATCCTTAAACTTCTGCAACATCAAAATAACAGGTTTTCTATTGATGCTCAGCCCAAACAGGTAATGTGGATAAAATTTTCCTGGAAATAACTTATCTTTAGTTCTAATCTCTTTTGTCCATCTTGAGATCACCCTATTGGCTAGGAATTTTAGAAGGATCTACCAATAATGTCCAAAAACATAGCTGAAAATCTAGAATAAGCTTTTTATTCAATCTTTTATAAAAAGATAAAAATAATAAAATAAAAACATTTTTCCCATAACATGTTATATTTTTGATAAATAGTTTTGAAGACATTTATGTTCCTTTAAAATTACTTTGCTTGCCGCTTGATATACAGCTGTTATATACTATATGTGTACAATACATATAAAATTCATGGTCATTTAATTTATGCTGATTCTCCCCTAATCTTAACTGTTTATAATTTTGTGGTCTGGGCCAAAAGGGAGACTACACATTCATCTACCATCAGGAGAACTGTGTTGTCACCACTTTACCACAGAAACAGGCCAGTGGCTTCTTTACGGACAGAAATAACACTAGCTGCAAATGGATGTCCACATCCATTTAGTAAATGGGGCACGTTCATACCCATTTAGAAGTTCTGTGGCATAGGTGATATAGCATAAACAACACATGGATTCCATGATGTTGTTATAAAGCATCAGGGCAGTAGTCTTCCTAGAATTCCAGGATACCTATTTCTTATGCAAATTCGTAGACTACTTTTTTTTTTAACATGAAACCTTTATAGAAGATAACTTAGAAATTACTGCCCTATAAAAACCTAAAAATTAATCCTGATTTTATTTAATAATTCATTGAATTATTTAATAATTCAATTCATTTCACATAAAGATGTATGACTATAAGATGAAAATTAAGTCAGAACATGACCCATATATATGCTGTCTACAAGACACCGACTTCAGACCTAGGGACACGTACAGACTGAAAGTGAGGGGGTGGAAAAAGATATTCCATGCACATGGAAATCAACAGAAAGCTGGAGTAGCAATATTCATATCAGACAAAATCGACTTTAAAATAAAGAATGTTACAAGAGACAAGGAAGGACACTACATAATGATCAAGGGATCAATCCAAGACGAAGATATAACAATTGTAAATATTTATGCACCAAACATAGGAACACCTCAATACATAAGGCAAATGCTAACAGCCATAAAAGAGGAAATCGACAGTAACACAATAATCGTGGGGGACGTTAACACCCCATTTATACCAATGGACAGATCATCCAGACAGAAAATTAATAAGGAAACACAAGCCTTAAATGACACATTAGACCAGATAAACTTAATTGATAACTATAGGACATTCCAACCGAAAGCAGCAGAATACACTTTCTTCTCAAGTGCACACGGAACGTTCTCTAGGACAGATCACATCTTGGGTCACAAATCAAGCCTCAATAAATTTAAGAAAACTGAAATCATATCAAGCATCATTACAGACCACAACGCTATGAGATTAGAAATCAATTGCAGGAAAAAAACTGTAAAAAACACAAACACATAGAAGCTAAACAATATGTTATTAAATAACCAATGGATAACTGAAGAAATCAAAGAGGAAGTCAAAAAATACCTAGAAACAAATGACAACGAAAACATGACGACCCAAAACCTATGGGATACAACAAAAAGCAGTTCGAAGAGAGAAGTTTATAGCAATACAATCTTACTTCAAGAAACAAGAAAAATCTCAAACAACCTAACCTTACACGTAAAGCAACTAGAGAAAGAAGAACAAACAAAACTGAAAATTAGTAAAAGAAAAATCATAAAGATCAGAGCAGAAGTAAACGAAATAGAAATGAAGAAAACAGCAGCAAAGATCAATGAAACTAAAAGCTGGTTCTTTGAGAAGATAAACAATATTGATAAACCTTTAGCCAGACTCATCAAGAAAAAAAAGGGAGAGGACTCAAATCAATAAAATTAGAAATGAAAAAGGAGAAGTTACAACTGACACTGCAGAAATACAAAGGATCATAAGAGACTACTACAAGCAACTATATGCCAATAAAATGGACAACCTGGAAGAAATGGACAAATTCTTAGGTATAACTTTCTAAGACTGAACCAGGAAGAAACAGAAAATATGAACAGACCAATCACAAGTAATGAAATTGAAATTGTGATTAAAAATCTTCCAACAAACCAAAGTCCTGGACCAGATGACTTCACAGGTGAATTCTATCAAGCATTTAGAGAAGAGCTAACATCCATCCTTCTCAAACTCTTCCAAAAAATTGCAGAGGAAGGAACACTCCCAGGCTCATTCTACGAGGCCACCATCACCCTGACACCAAAACCAGACAAAGATAAGATATCACGAAAAAGAAAATTACAGGCCAATATCACTGAGGAACACAGACACAAAAATCCTCAACAAAATACTAGCAAACAAAATCCAACAACACATTAAAAGGATCATACGCCATGAACAAGTGGGACTTATCCCAGAGATACTAGGATTCTTCAATATATGCAAATCAATCAATGTGATATACTACATTAAAAAATTGAAGAATAAAAACCATATGATCATCTCAATAGATACAGAAAAGGCTTCTGACAAAATTCAACACCCATTTATGATAAAAACTCTCCAGAAAGTGGGCATAGAAGGAACCTACCTCAACATAATAAAGGCCATATACAACAAATCCACAGCAAACATCATTCTCAATGGTGAAAAACTGAAAGCATTTCCTTTAAGTTCAGGAACAAGACAAGGATGTCCACTCTTGCCACTATTATTCAACATAGTTTTGAAAGTCCTAGCCACGGCAATCAGAGAAGAAAAAGGAATAAAAGGAAACCAAATTGGAAAAGAAGTAAAACTGTCACTGTTTGCAGATGACATGATACTATACATAGAAGCCACCAGAAAATGAGTAGAGTTTTCCAATGAATTTGGTAAAATTGCAGGATACAAAATTAATACAAAGAAATCTCTTGCATTCCTATACACTAACAATGAAAAATCAGAAAGAGATATTAAGGAAACAATCCTATTTACCATTGCAACAAGAGAATAAAGTACCTAGGAATAAACCTACCTAAGGAGACAAAAGACTTGTACTCAGAAAACTATAGAATACTGATGAAAGAAATCAAAGACGACACAAACAGATGGAGAAACATACCATGTTCTTGAATTGGAAGAATCAATACTGTGAAAATGACTATACTTCCCAAAGCAATCTACAGACTCAATGCACTCCCTATCAAATTACCAATGGCACTGTTCACAGAATTAGAACAAAAAATTTTACAGTTTGTACGGAAACACAAAAGATCCTGAATAGCCAAAGCAATCTTGAGAAAGAAAAACAGAGCTGGAAGAATCAGGCTCCCTGACTTCAGACTATACTACAAAGCTACATTCATCAAGACAGTATGGTATGAGCACAAAAACAGAAAAATAAATCAATGGAACAGGATACAAAGCCCAGAGATAAATCCACACACCTGTGGTCACCTAATCCATGACAAAGGAGGCAAGAATATACAATAGGGAAAAGACAGTCTCTTCAGTAAGTGGTGCTGGGAAAACTGGACAGCTACATGTAAAAGAATAAAATTAGAACACTCCCTAACACCGCACACAAAAATAAACTCAAAATGGATTAAAGACCTAAATGTAAGGCCAGACACTATAAAACTCTTAGAGGAAAACATAGGCAGAACACTCTGACATAAATCTCAGAAAGATCTTTTTTGACCCACCTCCTAGAGTACGAAAATAAAAACAAAAATAAACAAGTGGGACCTAATTAAACTTAAAAGTTTTTGCACAGCAAAGGAAACCATAAACCAAACGAAAAGACAACGCTCAGAATGGGATAAAATATTTTCAAACAATGCAACTGACAAGGGATTAATCTCTAAAATATATAAACAGCTCATGCAGCTCAATATCAAAAAAAAACCAACCCAATGAAAAAATGGGCAGAAGACCTAAATAGACATTTCTGCAAAGAAGACGTACAGATGGCCAAGAAACACATGAAAAGGTGCTCAATGCCACTAATTATTAGTGAGATGCAAGTCAAAACTACAATGAGGTATCACCTCACACCAGTCCGAATGGCCATCATCAAAAAATCTACAAAGAAAAATGCTGGAGAGGATGTGAAGAAAACGGAACCCTCCTACACTGTTGGTGGGAATGTAAATTGGTACAGCCACTATGGAGAACACAATGGAGGTTCCTCAAAAAACTAAAAATAGAATTACCATATGACCCAGCAATCCAGCTCCTGGGCATATACCTGGAGAAAACCATAATTCAAAAAGATACATGCACACCAATATTCACTGCAGCACTATTTACAACAGCCAGGACATGGAAGCAACCTAAATGTCCATCAACAGGGAATAGATAAAGAAGATGTGGCACATACATACAAGGGAATATTACTCAGCCACAAAAAGGAACAAAACAGTGCCATTTGCAGAGGCATGGATAGACCTAGAGACTGTCATATAGAGTGAAGTAAGTCAGAAATAGAAAAAGGAACATTGTATAATATCACTTATAAGTGGAATCTAGAAAAATGGTACAGATGAACTTATTTGCAAAGCAGAAATAGAGACACAGATGTAGAGAACAAACTTATGGATACCAAGGGGGAAGGGAAGTCAGGATGAATTGGGAGATTGGGATTGACAATAAACACACTACTATGTATAAAATAGATAACCAATGAGAACCTACTGTAGAGCACAGGGAACTCTACTCAATGCTCTGTGGTGACTTAAATGGGAAGGAAATCTAAAAAAGAGGGGATATATGTATACGTATAACTGATACACTTTGCTGTACAGCAGAAACTAACACAACATTGTAAAGCAACTATACTCCAGTAAAAATTAATTAAAAATAAAATAAAATAAAAATTAAGTCAAAATGTGAGTAGCTGACAGATCATACCCAGCACACTTGTCTAAGTTGCCATATTTTGCATGAAAAGCTTGATTATTAAAAGACTGGCTTCGAATCAATTTGGATTTCTTGATTTCTTTGCCTAGAGTAACAAGCAAAAGGAAAATGCAATTGTTTAGTTCATCAGTTCATCCTTAGCTGCCCCAACCCCATTTCCTCTCCAACTCCCACAATTTTCAGTAAAACACTGACAGGTGTAGCTTCCTTTCCTTAGCTTGACCTGACTGGTGTATCTCTTACCCCTACTGCCCATTAAGAACCGCCAAAACAGCTAACAGTAAAAGGCCAAAGGTGCCTTCAAATGATATATCTCATCTCACGGAGTGACTTCCCTGTAATTATTGTTTAGGAAAGGAAAAAAGGAGACACAAAAACAAGTTTCTTACTTGTGGATGGGGTGCCAGAAGAGGGTCCAGGGACAGAAATGGGGATGTTCTTGGGCAGAGTTGTTGGTGTCTTGGTGTCTCTACCTAAAACAAACTCTGATTTAAGTGCTATAATTTCCTCTGAGTTCTTATTAATCTCCATACACATACAAGGCAATGCAGAGAATATGAATCACTATCCCTAGTGAAGCAACACTCTCTTCCAAATCTTACTTTTTATATATTTAAATATTTCAATCTTAGTTATTCAGTGATCAATTTTGCAATCTTATTGCTGTTACCAAACTTCAAACTTTCCTTTGAAGGATCTGAACCTCCACATTGATCCTCACCATTTATTCATGTACTCCTAAACCTGTATCACAGTTAGCAGCCAATTTTTGAAAACAACTTTGATAAATGAAAGAAAGTGAAGTGATTTTCCATATTAAATTAAAAACTAAGCATGGTCTCTCAGCATGCTAGGATGCAACATCAGTTGGGTACCTTGGTGATAAAGACATGCGAAAACTACTTACGTTTCTTTTCAAAGGTTTTATCACTCATGGGCCTTCCATCATTTTGTTGCTTTTCTTTTTCTAATTGTTCCTATTAATAAAACAGTATCTTAGCATTAAAGGTAAGCATTAGATTTAGAAAATTGTTCTAATCAGAAATTACTCTAAGCTTTAGAGGTACAGATACAGTTCACAAAAATACATAACAGAAGTAATTTGTTTTTCCAAATTAGTGTCTAAAGAAGTCACAGTTCTTTCAGATTTGTGTTTTTTTAAACATCTACAGAATTGTGCCCTTGGAGGCTTGTCAAACTAAAACAATGAGTTTAGTATCACTGTTGTGATGAGCCGTTAATTTCTACAACGTATTTACTCATTCTCATCAGCAAAATGTGTTACTACTGGCCCTTTCCATTTCTGACTGATACATGGCAAAATAATGTTCTTCTTTTAAAAGACTGAGAGAAAAAGAAATGATCTTTTAGATATTATTTAAATGTTCTATTGAAGTATAATACACATAGAGAAGGTGCACAAATATAAGTGTACAGCTCAATAAATTTTCCCAAAGTGAACACACCCATATAATCAGCTCCCAGACCAAGAAACAAAATGTTACCCAAACTCAAAGAGTTCTTTATCCCAACAGAATAGCCAAGAAAAATCAATAAACATATCAAGTTCTGAACAAACATGGCATAACTGACATGTACAGAACACTACAATCAACACTGGAGAACATACATTCTTTTCAAGTGCATGTAAAATAAAAAGGCAGAGAAAATACGCAAGATAAAAAATATTCCACATAGAACTGGACTGCATAAAAAACTATTAAATAAAAATTCTAAAACTGAAAATAAAACATGCAAAACTGAAAGATATCACCAAGTGGGCTTAATAGTAGTGTTACCTGCGTCATCTTTTCCTCTACTATCTCGATCATATTAATCACAGTTGTCTTGAAGTCCTTGTCTGCTAACTCTAATATCAGGATCATCTGTGGATCTTTTCCTATTCTCTGATCTTTGTCTTGGGTTTATTAGGTCATTAAGTCCTAAAATGTTTTAGAGTCTGCTTATTCTCTACATCTTCTACCACTGGCAATCCTGAACTCTAATCTTTGGTTTAGACTGCTGAAATAATGCAATTTGCTTTTCAGAGGATTTCCACTTAAGTTTTTAATCTTACAGCATAATTCTCTGCAGAAAAATAGACAATATAAAAAATCAGAATTTTAGAACTGACAAATAGAGTAATGGAAATTTTAAAATCAGTGGAGAGTCTCCGCAGCCAAATGCAGAGGGCAGGAAAAGAACTGGTGACACTGAAGATGGATCAACAGAAATTATTCACTCTGAGTAGCAGAGTTTAAGGAAAAAAAAAAAAAAGAAAGAAAGAACAAAGCCTCATGGACCTGTGGGATAGTATCAAAAGATTTAACATATGTGCAATTGGAGACCCAGAGGTATAAGAGTGAGGAACTGGGACAGAACATATATTGAAATAAATAATGGCTCAAACCTTCCCAAATTTGGGAAATGACACTCATTTACAGATTCAGGAAGCTCAGCAAATCCAAGACAGAAAAAATTTGAAGCTAATCATGCCTAAAAACATCACAAGCAAACTGCTAAAGATAAAAAAGAAAAGAAAAAATCTTAGAAGTAGACAGAGACAAACAACATTATATAGAGAAGAATAATAATTCAAATGAGAACAGATATTTTATCAGATGCTATGGAGACCACAACACAGACAGAAACACTTCTTAAAGTACAGCATAAAAAAGGCTGTAAACCCAGAATTCTGTATCCAATAAAAATATCCTTTAGAGAGAAAGGCACAAATAAGACATTCTAGATAAAGGAAAACGAAGATAATTTGTTACAAAATACTTGCACTCCGAGAACTTCCAAAGAAAGTTCTTCAGGCTGAAGGGAAAAAATAAGAGGGACATTTGGGTCCTAAGCAATGAATGAAGAGCACTGGAAATGGTAAACATCTGAGTAAACACACAGGTTTACTCTCTTAAGTTCTTCAAGATACATATGACAACTTAAAGCAAAAATTATCACACTGACTGGTGGGGTTTTCAGTGCAGATGTAATTCACATGACAAGTGTAACATAAAGAACAGTATGGAGCAAGTAAAGGGTTCTGTATCACTGTTAAATAAAGTGGTACAATATTAACAAAAAGAAGACTATAAAAGGTTAGGTATGTCTGCTGTAATCTCTAGAGAAAACACCAAAAAGCAATTCAAAAAAAAAAAGGGGGGGGGGGGCGAAGAGACAGAGAGAAACACCAATCACTAAGATAAAAATATAAAAGGGGGGCTTCCCTGGTGGCGCAGTGGTTGAAAGTCCACCTGCCGATGCAGGGAACGCGGGTTCGTGCCCCGGTCCGGGAGGATCCCACATGCCACGGAGCGGCTGGGCCTGTGAGCCATGGCTTCTGAGCCTGCGCATCCGGAGCCTGTGCATCCGGAGCCTGTGCTCCGCAACGGGAGAGGCCACAGCATTGAGGGGCCCGCGTACCGGGAAAGAAAAAAATATATATATACATACATATATATATATATAAAAGGGGGTATCATCATAGATTCTATATACATTAGAAGGATAATATAAGAATATTATAAACAACATATGCCAACAAATTTGACAGCTTAGATGACACGGACAAATTGGGGAGGGGAAGCAACTTACCAAATTGACAAAAAGGAAAGAAAATCTGAATAGTATTATAGCTATTAAAGTAATTGAATGAATTATCAAAATCCTTCCAAAATGAAAACTTTGAGTCTTGATAGTTTCACTAGTGAATTCTATCAAACACTCAAGGAAGGAAAAAAAACAACTTTATACAAAAGTTGTCAGAAAATAGAGGAAGTGGTAATACTATCCATCTCATTTTATGAGGCCAGAATAACTCGAATACCAAATTTAAAAGATCCAAGAAATGACCCCAAAAATTATAAACCAGTTCCCACTATGAATTTATGAATACAAAGGCAAAATTCCTTTAAATAAATTAGCCAAGCATCCAACAGCGGAGAAAAGGACAATATATCATCACCAAATAGAGTTTATCTCCAAAATATAAAATCGGTTTACCATTTGAAAAATCAATGTAACTCAGTGTTTTAACACAATGAAAGTAGAAAAACAAATATCATTTCAGGAAATGCAGAAACAGCATCTGGCAAAATTTAACAATCACTCATAAAAACTCTCAGCAGACTAGGAATAGAAGCAATAAAGGGCATCTATATAAAACCTATTGGTAACACCATACCTAATGATGAAAGGTTGAACTGCTTCCCCCTAAGAACAGTAAAAAGACAAAGATGCCTACTTGCATCACTTTTATTAGTCAGAGGTCTCTTATTATACTGGAGGTCCTGGACCTTTCAATACGACAAAAAGAAAGAAATAAAAGGTACAAACACTGAACAGGAAGAAGTAATCCTACTGTACTAAAAGATGACATAATGGCTCAGGTAGACTCATGTCCTATTAAATCTAAAAACCAACTTCTACAACAAATAAGCAAACTTAGCACATTTTCAAAATACAAGCTTAATATACAAAAATCAATAGTATTCTTAAACTCCAGCAACAAAAAACTGGAAAGTAAAACTTTAAATTACAATTCCATTTATAATGCCAAGACACGTAATATACTAGAAATAAATCTAACAAAAGACTGCCTTGAACTCTACACTTAACTCTACCAAAACTAAGAAGACTAAATAAATGAAGTGGTAGACAATGTTCATGGATTGGAAGACTTAATTGTTAAGATGGCAATTCTCCAAATTGACCTACAGATCAATGCTAATTAACACAATCCTAACTAAAATTCCAGCAGGTTTTTTATAGAAATTGATAAACTGATTCTAAACATTGTATCAAGATGAAAAGGGCCTCTACTGGCCAAAGCAATTTTTTAAAAAGTTGGAAAAGTTACCCTACCTGATTTTAAGAATTACTATAAAGTTATAGCGATCAAGATAGTTTGGAATTGCCAAAAAGATAAACCTATAAATCACTGCAACAGAATGGGAGTCAAGAAACAGACATATGTATATATGGACAACTGATTTTTTTAAAAAAGGTGCTAAGGCAATTCAATGGAAGTAAAGTTTTCAATAAATGGCATTAGAATAATTGCTCATTGAGATGGAAAAAATAAACATATATAAAAATTAACTTGAAATGAATCATAGACCTAAATGTAAAACCTAAAACTAAAATTCCTAGAAGAAAACACGGGAAAAAGTCTTTATAATTTGGGGATAGACAAAAGACTCTTAGAACAAAAAGCATGAACTATGCTAAAAGAAAAAAAAGGATAAGTTGGACTTCATCAAAATTAAAAACTTCTTCTCGTCCAAAGACACCATGAAGCAGAGACTCCAAGAAAATATTCATAAAATGTATCTCTGACAAAGGAGTTGTATTCAGAGTTTATAAAGAACTCTCACAACTCAATAAGAAGATAAACAAAAATCCTTTAAAATCTGAAAAGAGACTTCATCAACTAAGATATGAGGATGGCCAATACACAAAGGAAAAGATGCTCAGCCTCCTTAGGCATCAGGGATAAGCAATTTGAGATAACATTACATACCCACCCTCTCGAGCATTAGAGAGGATACGGGGTAACCGAAGCTCTCCACCACAGCCAGTGGGAATGCAAAACGGCACAGGCACTTTGTAAAACAGTCTTTGTTTTTAAGTTAAGTGTAGTTTACCATACCATCCAGCCATTCCGTTCCTAAGTTATTTCCCCAAGAGAAATGAAAACTTATGTCCACTCAAAGACTTCTTCACTAATGTTCCCAAGCTAGAAGTAACCCAAATGTCCGTTAAGACGTGGATAAACACGTTGTGGTATATCCGCGGTACGGACTACTACTCAGAGATAAAAAGGAATGACCTCTTTATATGCACAAAAACATGGATGAATCTCAAAGTAATCATGCTGATGGAAAGAAGCATGACCCAAAAAGGTACTAACATATGATTCAATTTGTATAAATTCTAAAAAACGCAAACTAATTTACAGCGACAGAAACTAGATTAGTGGTTGCTAGGGACTAGAGTAGAAGATGTGAATCACTAAGGGGGCACAAGGAAATTTTTGAAGGAATGGCAACGTTTGGTATTTTATATTCTGGTTTCATGGGTATGTCTGTATGTCAAAATTCACCAAATTGCACACTTTAAGTATTTGCTGTTAATCATAAGTCAATCATACTTCAATAAGGTAGTTTTTTTTTTTTTTAAAGGCTCTCAAATGTAGTTTTCCTTACAATTCATAAAAGAACATATTTCAAAAGGTCAGGATTCTTCTTTAGTCATTTAGGGAAAATAAAATTAGTATGAAACTGAAAGAAATTATTGATTAGATTTAATAACAAAGCACAGTTAATACTGGTCAGAAAAGAGTACGTGTGTGTGTGTGTGAAAACATACCATTTCCAAAAGAAGTAGCTCTTCTCTTTCTTTCTCTTGATCCAACAAATCTTTTTCATAAAATTTTTTCTGAAACTAAGTTTAAAGTTTAAAATGAAATTGTGAAACATTAATGATGAGTCTCTGCCAATTTTTAAATATTCCTTTCAACATAAGGTAAAGAGAGTGTACTCACAGCGTCCATGGACATTTCCATTCTGTCCAACTCTAACACAGTCTGCAAAGAAAATGTTTTAAATTATTCAACAGTAATTAAATTAAATCAACTAATCATTTCTCAGAAAGACTCCTTTTCCAGAGGGAGGATCAAAGAAGAGACTTCTCCACTATGTGAAAGGCTAAATTAGAAAGTCTCTAAAGTTCTTCCCAACTCTATGTTGTGTTTTTAATCAACCTCTATATATTAACACCAAGATCCACTTAAACTTTTAAAAGTTTTTCAACTTAAGAAAAGCAAGTGTAGGGCTTCCCTGGTGGAGCAGTAGTTAAGAATCCACCTGCCAATGCAGGGGCCACAGGGCCCCTGGGCTGGGAAGATCCCACATGCCGCGGAGCAACTAAGCCCGTGCGCCACAACTACTGAGCCTGCGCTCTAGAGCCCGCGAGCCACAACTACTGAAGCCCACGCGCCTAAAGCCCGTGTTCAGCAATAAGAGAAGCCACCGCAATGAGAAGCCTGCGCACCGCAACAAAGAGTAGTCCCCACTCACCACAACTAGAGAAAGCCCGTGCACAGCAACAAAGATCCAACTCAGCCAAAAATAAATTAATTAATTACATTAAAAAAAAAAAAAAGAAAAGCAAGTGTAGAGGATTATTTTAAATACTAAACACATGCAATTTAGTTTCTAATAACTTCCTGCGCCACTCTTTTCTGAATCTTCAGAAATACAATATAATTTTTGAATTTTTTAAAAAATCTTTTAGCTAAATATATACAAAGCTAGGTATCATTGGGCTTCATATCCTTAGTTCCTTGCCACAGAAACTTTTGATTATTATGACATTTTGACCAATAGAAAAAACTTTACTCTGAAAGCATTCTCTTAATTTAGAATTTGTCTTTTCAAATACATTGGTCTGAAATAAATTATTTCAGTCAAACAATGAATGGCCCATCTAATCCAGGGTTCTGTCTCTGATAGAGGACAGTACTTTTTTACAGGAGTAACTCTGATGGCCAGGATAAAGTACATTTATTCATATGCCCAAAGCTATCCATTGCAAACATAATATTTATTTGAAGTTTTATTTTTATGCTGAAATTTATGAAAATGTTATAATTTATGGCATGAAATAGCCCTTTTTTTTTTTTTTTTTTTTTTTTTTTTTTTTTTTTTTTTTTTTTTT